GAAGTTCAGACTTTAACTTAAAATGTACAGTTTGTTACTTTATTTTAGTGTGATTGGGCCTTGTTAAGATCAAGGTGGTAGAAAAATGCATAGCCATAAAGTTATGCACAGTACTAGTATAGTATAGTACTAGTACTAAAGTCACTCTCTACCAGTTATCCATTTGTTAGAGCAAATACATCACCTGATTTGCATATGTTTTGCTCTCCAAGGTATACAAACCCTCTGACAATACCACCCATCTGTTCTGAAGGAAAGGGGGAAAACATATCCCCTAGCTAGGGTTTTGGTCCTTTCGGTTCTATCTCTTTTTCTCTCATCTTAGCAACAGTACATATAGCAGCCAATCAGGATTCACTTCCTCTAGCTCGAGCATCACAGTCTGAGGTTACTATAGTGCATTGACCGACAGTAACCGTAAGAGGAAAAGAGAAGCAGTTCATGCGGCACCTCTACTGCAGTGCACCTGCTGAGATGAGGACGGGCTTTTTCCGACTCCTCTAGAAGGGATTAGCAAATAATTTAGGGCAAATCCTATTTTTGATCATTTAGATATGAAAATGTCTTGAAGAAGGTGAAATCTTTGCGAGGTGGGGGATGGAGCTTACACAAACACACCCAAACACAACAAAATGTTTTGTTCCAATAAATGCATCTGAAAGAATCTGTAGCAGTACATCAGGAAAGCATCAGAGAAACCTAGCTCATTTCAATCTGTTTTGGCATTCTGACAGTTGGTTAAGTTTCCATCTTCTTATTTAAAGAATTACATTTTCATCTTCTAGCTGAAAGGTAGGCATCTAAGAGCTGTAATGACATCATCTCAAACTGGGATGAGCACTTTGTTTTTAATGAATAAGCATCAGCCTGCCCAAAATTCTGCATTTCCGTCAGGCACCCTGGGCCAAATTTAATTAAGCTGGCCCCTTGTCTAGAAGGTGCTCACATGTGCAGGAAGAGGGATTTCTGTCTTGCTTGATCTCAAGATTATCAAGCAGTCTACAGTCTTGCAAGAATAGAGAATGAATCTTTTTATTTTACAGGGATTAAAATAAAAACAAGTCGCATTTCATGTAGAGCATGGATGTCATTATTGCCATTAAATCAACTCAATAAAAGTGAAGTATTTAGAAAGATTACATTTTGACTGGCCACAATTAATTTCTTAAGAGATTACTAAAGATCAAACTCTACCAGAACCTGAATTCTAATTTGGTACAAATGGGTTATTACAGTACCCAAAACAATGATGGAGAAAGGTTTACAATTGAGATGTTGCCTAATTACCCACAAATACTGACAAAATACTGAAAAAAGTAAAAACCATTTTGCCATTTGCCATTGTACTCTGAGAGGCAGGCTGACAGTATTTTCTCCATGGATGTACTCATAGGAATGGCATTTCCGTGAGCTCCTAAGTTATAGCAAAGGCATCTAGAAACATACGGATGATTGGCTCTTCTAGTACAAATACAGATACAAATTGGACATGGCCATAGAGTGATTTAAGCCTCTTGCTACAGCTCCAGAGGCCCGAGTCCAAGAGTCACGCTACTCTAGACTCTGGCTGAAGGCTGCCCCAAATCAAAGCAGTTATAACAATACCTAGTGATTCAGACCTAAAAGTCACTCCCTCATATGCTGTTGCCTAGGAAAACTGGTGTGGCTTCATCACACCAACCTGATAGGCTGTTTGGTTCAGGTACAACTTTGACTTCTGCAACACAGGGTAAAAGCATGCGAGTTTTCTGCATCCTTTTTGTGGATGTTTTGTGATCCACTGCCTACACACCCTTGTGATGAGCACAGGTTCATTGGCAGGGTCATGCAGGCAGAGGATCATGGCTCTGTCCCGGCTCTGGCCCTGCGCTGTCACCACTGCAAGATCCTGGCCCTGGCCCCAGATGCAGCTCCCCACCCAGCTGTGTGCCCTGCAAGTGCTGCTCGGGCCAGTCTCCATGAAAACTCTGAGAGCACGAGGCCATGATGGCCCTGCGCTGTCACGGCCTCACTGCTCCTGGGATGTTCATGGAGATTGGCCGGAGCAGCGCAGACAGGGGCTGTTGGGAAATGGAGTCCACCCACCAGCCAGACCCCTGGTCTAGAACCAGGATAGCCAACCTCTGGCATAGGCAGCTTTTCTGTGGCAGACAGCAAATTGGGGGGTACATCCAGCACAGCAGCAAACAGAGCAGAAAGCAAAGCAGCAGAGCATGCAGGGAGCACTGGGTAGGAAGCAGAAAGCAGAGCAAAAAACCCCAAAAATCTCACACAGAGGAAGTGGACCCAAGTGCCACTCAGGGAAGGTACAAGGCTAATTTGTGGCACACCTGCCTAAAAAGTTGGCCCCCACTGGTCTACAAGGTCTTAATGCTCTAACTGATACCTAACGAGCAGAATAAACCTTGAGATCATTGGCAGCTGGAATAGTTTACAGTTCTTCTGAGGCTGCTCCAAGTTATACCAGGGAAGGAATCTGTCCAGCAATTGGTCTATGCACATGTCTATGTGTTTGCAAGATGGGGCCCTATGTTCTAATGTTTCCTCAAACCAAGCATTTCTAGGTAATTAAAACTTGGTCCATTACCCAGTTCATTGTACAGTTAAGTAGACTTCTCAGAAACTAGCAGTAGATATTGTTAAGCAATTAAGGGAAAGCTTTAAAAAATGGATGTAGTCAGAGATGCGTAGATTAAGTCAAAATAAAAATAAAATGTCAGTGACAGCTTTTTGGAAACAATGAAAAGGACACAACCGTGCCAAGTTTTGCTACTAGAAACCATTCCTTGAAGAGTAATTACTTCTTTTAAGTACATGAAGCTCTCCTTAAGAACTTAATATTTTCTCCTGGGCATATTGACTTTCATACGGATTTGCTCCTGGGAATCTATAACTCTTCTTGCTCTTCCCCTCCAGAGAGACTGCTAATATGAAAACTACCAAACTGCTCTAGAAAATGCAGCACAGTTCTTCCTCCTCTGCCTTGTGTAGCCCTGTATAAAATAAATGCAAAATAGATGGAAAGTGGTACTGGATTTAATTGCATATTACACCCACATCTAAGTTCAAAAGACCTTAACAATAAAAAGCTATACAGAGTTAGGTCCATTATGACTCAGTTTCTCTCAATCCATGAAATGGGTTTAATATATTTACCTACCACCAAAGATTATGATTGGGACTCAATAGGCTGCTTTTGTGTGTTTGCTTTGGATTGTTTGTTCTTTTTCTTGGGAGGGAGTGAGGTTAAGCAATACTTTGATTAAGCAAAGCAATGTATGGATATTGACTTAAGGTAAAATCCTGGTGCCATTTACTTATGTAGAGTAAGCAAAGCTACTCATACAAGCAAGTATTTACAAAGTTGTACCTAAAAAATGAGAATCCTCACAGACTTCCGTAGGGTTCTGAGGTTAAGTTCTTAGGAAATGTAAATGCTGCAACACTATCCACTTCGCACTGTTATTTCTAAAGTTTTTGCAAGTGCTACTATTTCCTCCCAAAGGAGCCCCACCAAATTGATAATTGCCAACAACTAAAAACACCTTCTAAAAATCAGGGGGGAAACATAGAGAATTAGCTATACATCACTATCATTTTTACCTGTTTTGTTCGATTTCACTGCCTCCCATTTCCTAAAAAAATTAGGAAGACTTTTAACAATGGAAAATCATGCCTGCTGTGACAATGCTTTTGAGCCAAATTCTCACTGGATTAACGAGATTACAAGATATTCAGATGCAATGTTTACATTCTATAGTTCACTAGAAAACAATATTCATGAAGCAATATAGCGTACCATTCAATTGTGTTGGGACCCAGCTCTGTAGCCACTCCTCATTCAGGACTTGAATGGAGGTAAATGGGTGTCACAGGGAGGATGTTCCCATTGTTGGGCAACCTTAAAACTATTGGTACAATGGATTTAAAGAAATGGGAGCTACGGATACTCAATCTGGACTTCGTACAGAGTTATAGGTGCTTGGTACTTCAGAAAAAGAATCCTAGATCAGATGGAATCTTTGCCTCACTGAAGTCATGGGAGTCTCGCTATTCACTTGATCGGAGCCATGAGCCTGTTAAGGCCTGCCTGCCTGGCTGAGTCAGTGGGATTTGTGTCTTTCCGTCTTCACTTTGGGCACAGAAGTCTCTTGTTCCGTGGCAGAGGCAGACTGATTCACAGAGAGTGTCAGGAGATTTACTCTGTGTTCCCAGCACTGCTATAGATTCATTATTTGACCTTGGATCAAAAGTGCCAAGTATTATTGTTTTTGCTATTTCCAGGGAGCGCTTGTTTTGTACCAAAGTGAAAATCCCTTATTTTAACAGTCTATTTATATCTATCATTATGGCTAAACTCCCTCAAACACTAGAACTGATTTGTTAGGCTCACAATAGCTCAAAATGGGACGGTCATGTGGGTAGCCCTAGGAGAGACTGTACATCTGCAGGCACAATCCTGTCCCTGCTTACCAAGACAGCTATAGGAGGAATGCTGCAATACCTCTGGATGGGAAAGCCTGTGCTCCCCCATACGCCAAAGGGTAGAGAAGTTCTTCCCTGCCCACCTTTGAGGTGATATGCACACTCAGCCATAGTATGGGGGAGCCGTGTCTCTGCTCCTTCCAAATCAGGATAGCTATTGTGCCTGGCCCATCAACAGAAGGAAAGAAGACAGTAGTGAGAAAGGTTCCTTGAGTCTTCCAATCTCTACCTGCCCATGTTAAAGTTAAGCACAACTATAAATTAACAAAGATTGCAGAACACACTAGTATAAAGAGACCTATTTCCATGCTCTTAGGGATTTCTTCTACCCAACAGAAAACTTCAAAACTCAATGCAAGTTGGGGTGAGTGCCCCAGCCAACAAGACACGGGATGTACCTTAGTGGATTCCTCTGCTTTATTGCATCCAGAAAGCTATTGCCATATAAGCCCCAGAGTTGGGGATATAAACAACTATCTTATATTTTAATAGAGGGACATAAAGCTTTTCCTCACCCTTCTTCCTCCACCACGGTCCTTCTTGGATAGAGTATGACAGTTCCTTAAACACAATGTTCACAGCTGGTCTCCGTGGTAAGTAAGAGAAACGATGGGCTTCAGTCAGCATGTTGTCCACCTTTTTTAAGTGCCCATTCAGGAGCCGTGCCTCTTGGCTATCCATAGCATTGGAGACCACCTCATCCACTGAAACACACACTGACTTTGGCTCCATCACAGCAGAGGCAGAGTTGCTGGCATTCTAGAAAGCAGAAGGAAGAAACAGAAACACCTTTGACAAACTCTTCTTTGGGAACACATTTCACACCGTTTGCCCAAAGGAATTTTAAAATATTAATCCAGCGCACTAGAACGTAAAGCGAAATTCCCAGTGGTTCATGTCCTGCCTGTCTCTAAACAGATGTGTGAGGAGGGAGTCTAGTGTAGGAGTGAAAAGAGGCCAGATTTCCCCCCTCTTTTGCTACCTTTTGCTGCAACCTCAAGACTCTTTTTTTGGCACCAGTTTGCCCATTGCCTGTTCTTCAAGGCTACAAACAGTGTGCTAAGACCTTAATGTGGCACTCAACTTCACAACAAACAAACATGCCTTTCACTAAGTAATATGGAAATAAAAAATATCAAAATTAGTGAAATGTACTAATAAGAGATGTTTTTAGGTGTGCTAGGTAGTTTTAGTTTAAAGTTTTTGTATAAGTCAAAATGTCATTGCATAATTGCCTACTTAAAAGAGCATTATTTCTATGTTTACAAATTTCTGGTGGTACTTCTTGGGGAACACACACAACCTGGAATCCCACACCTGCCTATCTAGCAGCCTATCAGGCAGACAGAATACTTCCCACAAAAATTTGTCCTCTATCCTTCTGAGACAAGGCTCAACTGAAGATTGGCCTTGAGCAAAGAGGGATGTGTTCCATGAATTATATACATGTGTAAAACAATTGGTCTAGATCTTGTTCTCCTACAAGGGTATTGTAGGAAGGATGTTTACAGTTGCACTTCCACCATACATTGTCTATACAACCAGGTTCTATGAAGCTGATTTCAAGAAGAGGAAAGAACAAACCATTGACTACTCATTGACATTTTTCACTGTCGCTCAGAATGATACAGAGAGGCACACACAGAATTGGGGCAATTTGCATTCATGTGACCTGAATGAGAAACAACCAGTGACATCAATGGAAATTGTAGGAGACCTCATGAAATTCCTCCCTCTCTCTCCCAATTACAATTAAGCAGAATTTTGGAAGGTTCAGAGAATCCCAATATCTAGCTACAAATACACAGCAAATTCCCCAGCAGTTTCCATCCATATTCTAACTTTTTTTAATGTCACCCTGGTCTGAAAAACATGTCTGTGTTTGGCCAGGAGTGCATATCAGGATTTTCAAGGTATCTACATCGGCCCATCAACCTCAACGACTGTGAAAATATGAGCATTTAAGAGGGAGGCACCATACCAGTGTTCAAAGCAGTGATTCATTGCTCACTGAGAAGACAACCTCAAACAAAAAGCTGTGGGTCATGCCACCATTTCCTCCACCCCCTCTTTCCTCCCTAGTTTAGAAGTCACACTGCTTTCTTTTCTTTTCTGTCATGTTTTGGTGCTTTTCCCATATTGAATGAATGGTGCTGTTCATTACCAGTCACCTGTGAGGAACCTTGATGAACCAGTCTATATATAAGTCCAACCACCAGCAGCTAGTCACTCATTAGCTAATTTCTTCATGTTAAGAACATACAATCTGCAGTTTTGGAGATAATTCATTTCAGATTACCAAATATCCTGCAGGGAGTGGTTTACTTATGCTCTCAATTAAGTAAAAAGTTCAGGTGTCCAAGAAAAACTTAACTTCTTAAACTGTATGACAATAACAACATGCCATTTGAGCACAGTTATATGAAAGACCTCATAACTAAACTTATTAGCTTGACTGTGCTTCCTTATTTAGCACAAAAATAAAAAGGAAGCAGCATACCAACAATAGGTATTTCTGTAAGTATCTTCCGGACATCCTTTTTCACATGATCTATCTTTTTCATAGATTCATAGATAAGACCCCCAGGGTAGGGGAGAGCACCACCTCCCTTGGGAGCCCGTTCCAGACCTCGGCCACTCTAACTGTGAAGAAGTTCTTCCTTTCAAGAGACTTGTTTTGAGTACCCACCCTGACACCCTTTTAAAAGGGGCTTGGATTACAAAAAGGGACAAGCACTGAGATTCTCAAACTAAGACCATTCTTCCTCCTGCCCCCCTTAATCACTCCAAAAATTTTAAGCCCACCTCTTCTCCAGACACCTAAATCAGTTTATCAGCTGATACCCAGTATACCAAAATTCAAAAGCAAGTTGGGATATTTAATCATCCTTGAAGACAGCTGTGCATTGAGTAGACTAATTGCAGGCATCATGCTCTCACATCTTTTAGGGGCTACTTGTTGTGAGCAAAGACCACTCATCTGAGTAAGGATTTGCAAGACTCTGAGCTGCAGAGATATTTCAGCTTTCCAAGAGAAATGGGCTTGATTCTCTTGGGGTCCAATAGCAGCAAATTCAAATGAGCCCTATATAAATCCATCATTTTGCATTAAGAAAGGGCTGTGACTAAACTGAAGCATATTTGTATACCCACTGATGAAAGTAAGCAAGATAGGACATACATTTCAATTTGTGCCTATATGGCACAGCTGTAGAGACCAAATGTTCTCAAAGATTCTACTTACACCTTTCATCGCTTACTTTCACACTGGTTACTTCCCCGTGTCTCTTCTGAGGTTTCAATAGCTTGGTGTTGTACAAACAAGCAGAGCGAACACATTCCCATTCAAAGCAGGAAAAAAGATTACTGCCTCTCTCCTCCCAACCAACTTCAGCCAAAACACCTCTCTTTTGTTCCGTTCTTTCCTACTTACACCAAATGCTTTACATAATGAGCTAGAGAAGTTATATGTTCCTTGGCAAATCTGTTTTGAAGTCACAGGATGCAGTTGTGGGGAACAGAGCATGCTCAGAAAAAACCCGTCTAATCCCCTCTTATTAGCTCAAGGCAAGAGGTAACTATCGGTCAACTCTGGCTGGCTATGTGCAGCTGACTTCAAATCTGGGATGCTATGTATGAGCATAAAAAACCCCAACGCAACCTCGACTCCAAGACAGCTTTTACTTGTGAAATGGCAACAACCAGGTTGCAAAGAATCACTCTTCCCCCGAAACACACACACACACACACACACACAAAAACGCCCCCTCCTTGGGCAAATTGTTTATACCAATCCAAGCCACAATGCACACTTGTGTGTTGCGTATGTGCTTTAGACACAAACCAAAAACCACAGCTACCCAGCTGCTTAAGACAAACACACATGCACGCATGCACGCACACACACGCAGGCGTGTTCGCACACACGCACAGGCACAGACACACGCAGGCATGTTCACACACACGCACAGGCACAGACACATGTGCACAAGCGCCCGTGCACACACACCTGCACAGACACACGTAGACATGCATACATACACAGACATATGTACACATGTGCAAGACGCGCGCACACATGCAGAGACGCTTAGACGCACGTGCACACATGCATGCACACACACATGCATACACGCACAGACATGCTCCGAGACACATACGTGTACACACACAGACACACACCCCCGAACATGACAGAGGCGCGCGCGGACACACATGCAGCCGCCCCCCGGCCCGGCCCGGTCTCGCCTCACCAGCGCGCTGCCCAGGGAGAGCCCCGGCCGGCGCGGCCGGCCCCCCGCCCGATTGGCTGGGGGGCGGCGGGAGGCGGGCCCCGCCTCGCCGCTCAACGTGCTCTTGTTTTCCTCCCGCCCCTGCCCCGCTGGTGCCAGCCGGGAACCGGGCAGCTCTCCTCTGCTGCCTCCTCAGCGGGGTTCAGGCCTGCGCCGCACCCCTGCGCCTTCCCACATCGTCCTTCTCGAGCTGGGCAGCAGATGCAGGTGCCCGCCGCCCGGAGGAGGCTGGAGTTGAACTAGCCCTTGGCTACCCCTGGTGCTGGCCTTGGGGCTGGCAGGGAAGCAGCTGGGGCCGCGGCGGTGGCTCACGAAGTCAGCCGGAAAGGTTCAGCCCCCGCCCAGCTCTGGGGCCGTCAAAGCCTCGGGCTGCAGAAGTCGCTGTGGGGCTCCTCCTTTGTTGTTGTTGTTGTTTTCCTCAGGATTAAAAGCTTCGTTGTAAAATGAGCAGGAGAGCAAGTGCAGTGCAAACAGCGCTGTGAAGCCTAAGGGTCTTTCTGTTACTGCTCAGTTATTGGCATAACCACCTTTGTGTGCACATAGCAAAAGGCTCTGTACTGCACAAGAACTTGCTCTTTACCGAGTCAGACCATAGGTCCATTTTGCCCGGTCTCTTACACAGGCAGAGCAGGGATGCTGAAAGGGAGAGTAAACTGGGTATGACCAGGAGTGTAGGCTGTAGCTGTGTTGATCTAAGGACAAGGGTCTTTGGTTCAATCTGATATCTTTTATTAGACCAAATCAAATAGGTGGAAAAATTCTTCTTTGCAAGCTTTGAGCACAAACACCCTTTGTCGGGCTGAGGAAGCATCTGCAGTTGGTGTGTACTCCTCCTGGGTGGAATGAATAATAAAGAAGCCAGAGGCAGGTATGCATGCAAGAGAGGCAGAATGACCAGGTGGGGGGGTTTTGGGGTATGACCAGGGTTTTTGCCACTGTTCCTCTCTCACTTGCAGCTACTGATGCCCCTTTCCTTCAAGCATTTGTCCAATCCCTCTTTGAACTGGCTAAAGGGTCACCTTCCACAGCATCTGGCGGCAATGAGTTCCATGCTTCAGTTTCCCACTGTGCGAAAAAGGACTTCCTTTTGTGAGTTTTAGACTTGCTACCTACTTGTTTCTTTTTATGACCCCTTAGTTCTTGTATTGTGAAAGAGTAAATAATAAATCCCTACCTACTTTTTCTTCATCATTTACTCAGGCACTGCTTAAGGTTTAGAAGGCAAGGTTCACAAAGCAATGTGGCACATCCCACTCTGGCACAATCACGCGGTATAAACTTCTCCAAAGACTGTCCACCCCAGGGGTCAGGGCCAGACACAGGAGTGGGTGGGGCTAAAAATGGGTGAGACCAAACAGAAAGGGTGCCCAAAAATGGAATTTTTTTTGTCTGTTGTCCGATTATTATTATCATGATTAGCTCAGGCGAAGGGGTGCCTGATACTAAAAATTCAGCCGGGGCTGTCAGGAGTCTAGGTATGGTGCTGAGTTACTGCAGAGGAGCTTGAGAGTTGTAAATTCTCAGCTTAGCTTACTGAGCACTATATGCAGTATGCAAGCCCTTAGGCCCTTACTCAACATAAAGCAAGTGAACGGGGCTGAAACCTGGGAGTCCCTTATTCCGAGCCCTACTTTCACATCGCATCTCCCTGAGGTCTTGATGACACTAGAGAAACTGAGTGGAGCCATCACTTCAGTATCAGCAAAGCTGAAGATCCTGACCCTGTGTGAGATCTAGATATGCCTGTAAACCCTTTGGGTCTGGCTTCTATTTTATGCTAAGGTCCCCTTATACTTCTCTGGAAATGTAAGCCAGCCTTAAAGGGTACATAAGTGATTGCCAGAGTGGTATAATTCATGTCAATGAGAATCAGACCCAAAATGTCTACAAAGCATTTTATAATGAAGTTTGTAAGCTGTATGAAATCTCCTAAGAGGAAGCTTGTCATAAGACCTAGACCTTATGCAGGGCTGCACAGACATGGAGGTAATCTTCACAAAGCCCCTGGGAGGTACATGAGTATTATATCCTGTTTTTAACAATCAGGAGTTTCAGGGCAAAATCTAACCTGGTCCCTTAGACACCTCCAACTTAGGCTTCAGCATGCTTAAAAATGAGATGCCTGAACCCAAGACAGTGATTACATCTAGTCAGCTAGAACAGGGATGGACACAGGCATCAGCAAACCGGGCGGCTGACCAGAGCCCAGACCGAAAGGGGGACTGAAAATGGTAATTTTTTGCTTATTATGATCATTATTTCTAAAGGGGGACCTGATGCTAAAAATTCACCTGGGGCCGCCAGGAGTTTAGCAATAGTGCTGACCTAGAATCATAGACAGGTAGAGCTGGAAGGGGCCAAAGGAGGTCATCTAGTTCAGCAATATCAAACTCATCAGCTCCACAGGACCAGATGAGTGGTGCAGGGCTGGTCCACAGGCTGAATGAATGGCGTATGGCCGGCCCCACAGGCAGGATCAGGCCCACAGAGCTGCCCCCTGCATGCTGGATCCAGTACACATTGCACTTGCTCTGGCTGGTCTGGGACTATGCTGCATATGCAGGGCCATCCCTGGGGGGGGTGGCGAATTGGGGCAACCACCCTGGGTCCCATGCTTTGGGGGGCCCTGTGGAGCTGGGTAGAGCAGCCATGGCAACTCCATGCTGCCACTGGCACCCCTGCCACTGAATCGGCTGCAGAATCCAGCATGCCCAGCAACTCATACTGCGCCCCACCCCCCACGCCGCCACCAAATCTTCTGCCGGCTTCCTTGCATCTAGGGTTGGGGCCCCGCACAGGCTGATTTGACCCGGTCCCTGCACCGTGCTCAGGTCATCTCTGTGCACATGGTACCTGTGGGGGGCAAATCTGGGGCATGTGCCACATGCAGCATCCACTCCAGCTGGTCTAGGATCCATGCTGCAGGCAGCACCTGCCCTGAAGTGGCCAGGGGGAGCGCCACATGCAGTGAGCAGCACCTCAGGTCCCAGGCCAGCAGGCATTGTGTGTGGTGGGTGTTCCAGGCCAGCTGCAGCAGGAGCTGTGTGGTACATGTGATGTATGGGTCAATTCACTGAACCCAAGGGCAGCAGTGGGAACAAGATGATGGGGCTCCCTGGGCTGGATCTGGCTGGCAGGCTGCACCTTTGACACTTGATCTAGTCCAACCCCCTGTTCAAGGAAGGATCATCCCTGCTTGCCCCACCCTTGACAAGTGTTCATTTAAACCCTTCTTAAAAATGTCCAAGGAGGGAGATTCCAAACCTCTGGGTAGCCTGCTTCAATGCTTAAACACCCTCACAGTGAGACTTTCTATACAGACAAAGTAGAGTTAAGTTCCTTCAAAGAGTGACTCAGAGAGCCCCAGTACTGCATAGGAAGTCACCTAGAACTAGCCAATAAGAAACATGAGACATAGAGCTATGTCCAAACTCTTGCCCTTTCTTGGAACTTAGGCAACTTCAAATTTTCAGGATCTAGAGCCCAGAGTCCCCTCCTGAGAAAAGGCACATACATAAGTAGGTAACAGCAGCACCCAGATCTTATATAAAAAGATAGTGATTATAGCTCTCCTGCTGAGGATTAGATCTAGCTTTTATTTAATGACTTAACAATGTAAAATGCAGAGGTTGTCCTGGCATCAGTGCCCCATTTTCCTCTTTCCCAATCAAGCACCCTAAGCACAAGGATGTTGAGTCAGGCTCTCTTTTGTTTCTTTTACTTCTGGCCCCATTACGCTTGTAATCTTGGCTGGGCCATGGCCCAGTCTCAGCAGAAGGGGTGCTCTTTTTCATTCTCAGACTCCTAAAAAAAATTGAATGGAGGTGCAGACCCCTTTGGAAATTTCAAATGGAGATACAGATGCCTTTGAATTTTAGGTGTGGGTATTCACATACTTTGATTGATCATAGTCATCTTTTGACAGACTTTTCACATAGTCTGTGAACCCACAGGGGTCTGAGGACCAGAGGCTGAAAACCACTGGGGTAGCCTACCCTGGCATCTACTTTACCTGTATGACTTTAAGTGCTTTACTGATGGCCACACAACAAGGCAGTCCTGGAAACGGGACTAGAACATTTGAGTCTCTAGCTCCCAGTCTTGCATTAAGTCAGGGGTGGGCAAAATGCAGCCTGTGGGCTGGATGCGGCCTGCCAGGCCATTCTATCCAGCCCACGGGGCCCGTAAAAAATTTAGAAAATTAATATTTATCTTCCCCTAGCTGCCTGTCATGTGGCCCTCGATGGCTTGCCAAAACTCAGTAAGTGGCCCTCCGCCTGAAAAAATTGCCCACCCCTGGATTAAGTCCTATATAGACATCAGTCCATTTGGTTCTAGCACACTAAAAACAGGAAATCCCTGTCTACACCAGACTACCAAACAAACTCTGTACCTACTACAAAAAACTACAAACTTGAACAAGGTTTGAGCAAGGATATCATATGTGATCCAACCTGGATACCTGACACATGGAAGATGCCGAATTTTAGCTGATTTTTTAAATGAAATCTTCATAATTTTACAAGGAGGAAGCAAGCTTAACTACCTGAAACCTGAGACCCTGCTCCTGCCTTTGTTTGAGTTAATTTGCATTATCACAGAGCCTCATCACAGAGCTCAGAGACACCTCACTACATAAGAAATGCTGACTCAGAAGAGCCTTCCATCTTTTTACTCCTCTGTGAAATATGAAACATCATAACCAGAAGGAGATATGACTACATCCTCCTTACCACCAAACAACTTTGAAGTAAACAGACTATTCCAACTTTTCTCTGAGCCTAATCTGCATATAAAATGAACTGTTTCAAACGGGAGATTTTACCACACCTTCAACTCTTCTATGAAATATGAACTTTTATTTCTACCCAGAACTTTTACAATCTTTTCTCCTATGCCTGAAGAAGGGTTCTTATGCCTGAAAGCTTGCAATTAAAGATTTTTTTTTCCAAAAGTCTAGTTGGTCTAATAAGAGATCACCTCACCTCGAGTTCTGAGTCTGTGATTCTAGTAATTTAAGAGCAGTTTTCCTGCACTGTTCTACTTATGATTTCAGCTGTACACATTTTTGGAGCTATGGTCAGATAGTCTGCTAAAAGTCATTTAAAATGCCAGTTTTCAAGTAACAGCAAGTAGCAAGAAACGGGAAGAGACATTACTGATGATTACACAGGATGTAACAACTAGTAGTCTGACTTATGTGATGGACGTAGTCTTTCTGGATTTTAGGAAGGTCTTTGACACTGTCTCTCACCCCATTCTCATTAAAAACCTAGGCAACTGTGGCATTGATGCCTACACAGTCAAATGGGTGGCAAATTTGGCTAGAGGGCCGCACCCAGAGAGTGGTGGTGGACGGGTCATTTTCGACCTGGAGGGATGTGGGCAGTGGGGTCCCCCAGGGCTTGGTCCTTGGGCCTGCACTGTTCAACATTTTTATCAGCGACTTGAACAAGGAGGTGAAAAGCACCTTATTCAAATTCGCTGATGACACTAAGATGTGGGGAGAGGTGGGCACACTAGAAGGGAGGGACAGGCTACAACTAGATCTGGACAGGTTACAGGGGTGGGTGGATGAGAATAGGATGGGATTCAATACTGACAAGTGCAGGGTACTGCACCTAGGGAGAAGGAACCAGCAGAATACCTACAGGCTGGGGAACTCCCTTCTCGTCAGCACAGAGGCAGAAAGAGATGTTGGAGTCATTATAGACTCCAAGATGAACATGGGCCGCCAATGTGAGGGCGCAGTCAGTAAGGCTAACCGCACCTTGTCATGCATCCACAGACGCATCACGAGCAGGTCCAAGGAGGTGATCCTCCCCCTCTATGCGACGTTGGTCAGGCTGCAGTTGGAATACTGCATCCAGTTCTGGGTGCCACACTTCAGAAGGGATGTGGGCAGCATTGAGAAGGTCCAGAGGAGGGCCAGTCACATGATCCGGGGACAGCAGGACAGGCCCTACGAGGAGAGGTTACGGGACCTGAACCTGTTCAGCCTCCATGAGAGAAGGCTGAGAGGGGATCTGGTGGCTGTCTATAAACTTAACAGGGGGGACCAGCAGGAAATGGGAGAGGCCCTGTTCCCCTGAGCACTACCCAGCATAACTAGGACTAATGGCCACAAGTTGATCGAGAGTAGGTTCAGGCTAGACATCAGGAGGCACTACTTCACAGTCAGGGCAGCCAGGATCTGGAACCAAGTTCCAAGGGAAGTGGTGCTTGCTCCTACCTTGGGGGTCTTCAAAAGGAGGCTAGATAATCACCTAGCCGGGGTCATTTGACCCCAGCATTCTTTCCTGCCCATGGCAGACGGTCGGATTTGATGATCTGTTTAGGTCCCTTCCGACCCTATCAACTATGAAACTATGAAACATATGCAAGGCCTGCTCAGCCATCCATCACTTGTATTTCCCCATGACGTCTAAAAGTAGGGTGAAATAAGGAGGCAGTTCAGGAAACTAAGAATCCTGGTACTGACATCTTGGCTGGAAGAGTCGAAGCTCAGTCTTAATAATATACCATATTAAGGGCTGTACTGTGCTTCTCCTGAAAATGCCCTGCAATAGGAACTGTATAGCACTGCTTTGTGCCAGGACCTCCCTTAGCTATGCCATCTGGTAAGCATGGCCAAGCAGGGAAACATTTCACAGTTACTTCTCAATGGCAGACCCGCACAAAGGGAAGGCACAAGTGAGCACAAAGAAGAAAATGTGGTAACCCTTTGCCAGTCATGGGTATGGTACCAACACTTACCTTCTGATGTGACAAGCTCCTTACAAAGGTCACAGATAAGACAAAAAGAGAGTGGAATCAATTTACTTTTGAATCAACACTGAAGGACATTACTTGTGGAAAAGAAGTTGGGAGGCAAGCTCCCTTCCCCTGATGTATTCCCCATCATCTTGTACTTTAGAAATACCAGTGTTCACACAATCATGTTTGGCACAACATATGCATAAATAGCCCACAGTTTGCAAGAGGTATAATTCAACATAGTATGGCCTGATATTACAGGGAGTTTTTATTCAGACAAAACTTGAATTAACTTCCATGGGAATTGTTTCCAAACAAAGAACACAAGATCAGGTCCTAAGTATTCATTCTTCTGCATAGTCACTGAAAAGTCAGTATCTATATCTGCTTCTTGTAGAACACTTTGAAATGCGAATTATGTCAGGTGCAACCAAATTCTATTTGAGAGATACCTCAAAGAAACAAAAAAGAGTATTACATAACATGAGACATGCTAAAAATAGCAGCGTCTCCTGTGCTTCTTTACATTCCCTCATTAACTCTTCCATTAACTTCACAGATGGTCCCAAGTCCCTGCAGGGGCAAATCAAGAACAATGCTAGGAAGAAAAAAAATGTTAAAACATTGAAGCCTGTTAAAAATGAGGCCAAAAAGAAAGTTGCACACAAAAGTTGAGTATTAACAAAAGGGAGAGACCCAAAATAGATCAAGAAGCAGTAACAGATTCTGGATTTTGCAGGTAAGGACCACTGGATCATAGAATAAAACACAGAAAAGAGAAAGAGGTAAGAAAGAAAAATGAAGAAGAAAGAAGAAGAAGCAGGGAGAAATTTAAGGCAGGCAGAAGAGGTGGTATGTCTATAAAAAAACATTTATAGATGTAACAGTGTCTTAGTACAGAATACTGAAGCTGGCTTTAAACCAGCAAACTTGGGTACCCGGTAGCAATTTAGCTATGGCAGCAAAGAGCTCCGTATGGGATGATTTACCCCGCTGAGAGAGAGAGAGAGAGAGAGAAATATTAAATATAGAACTGGATGAAATTTCAAACTAAACTTTTTTTGGCCAAATTTTGGCATCAAAACTATTTGTAAATTAATGCAGAATTTGAATTTGGGAGAAATAAATACCAAAAAAGTTTTTTCAAAAACAGTTTCAATAGTTTTAAATCAAACATTTCAAAGCAATGGTTCATTTAAATACTAACCAAATTTTAATTTTTAAAAAGCAAAAAACTTGGCAAAGAAAAAAAGCTCTTGAGTGTGATCCAAACTCTGAAAAAAAATATATATATATACACACACACACACACATATATATATATATATATATATATATATATATATATAAAATCAATGCAGGTCAATTTTTGTAATTCTTTGGTTCAACCAGCAACAAAAACAAAAAAACCAACTTGTTAAATAAAAGTGAAATGAGTAACAGATTAGCTAAAACAGGATGGAGAAGAATGTAAGACAGAATTTAAGGACTGATCCTGTAAAATACTAAGCCCACTCAGTTTCCAACAACTGACAATTTTGAGCTTTTAATATGGAAATTGAATACGGGGAAAGAAGAAGTATGGAAAAGGGAAGCAGAATGACAAAAGGCCACTGACTCCCAGAAAGAAGAAATATGGTGAGCATCACTGAGCTTCCTATTCAAGTACAAGCAGGAAAATACTAGACCTGTGTGAAGCAGCTAGTATTCGCTTCAAATTCAGATTCGGCCGATTCGGGGGACAGTGATTAGATTTGGTGATTCGAATCACCATCCCGAATCAATTCAGCCAAATCTGATTCGGAGATTCAGCTGCTGCCAAATCAGCTGAATCTCTGAATCACACAGGCCCCAGCTCCTGCCCACTCTCCCAGCCCCACCCGGCCCCAGCTCCTGGCTCTTTGGGGAAAAAAAAGGGGGTCAGGGGGAAGGCTGGGGGGGGATCCCTGCTGCCCCCCACTGTCCCACACCACATGGGGGGGCTCTGTCACAAGCTCCCTATCCCCCACCTGCTCTCCCAGCCCCCTCATGGCTGTCCTGCCTGGTCCAGCTCCCAGCCCTTAAAAAAAAAACAACACAAAAAACACATGGCTGCTGCCCAGTGGGAGGGCGATCCCCACCGCCCCCACTGTCCCGCACTGCATGGGGGGGGCTCTTCC